AGTGTGCCCCGCTGGACGTGCCGGACTCGCTGCCCCCGGCGCCGGGGCCTGCTGCTCATCCGTCAGCAGCCGGCACAGCTGCTCCCTGGCCCACGCCCCCGCGCCACTGGGGAGCTGCTGCCGGAGACACCAAGAGCCCAGCGAGACCGGCTGAAGGAGCCAGCAGAGTTCCCGGCGTGAATGGGAGCAGACTCTGGCCCCGCGTCGGCACTCGGCACGGTGCCCGTAGAGCAGGGCGAGCGGCTGGGAACAAGCACTTACCCCTCTGTGCACGGGGCCGAGCGCCCCCCGCCCCACAACCAGGCCGCCCTTTGCACAGAGGGGAAGGGACTCGCCCAGGCATGGACAGCGACAGAGCAGGGAAGCGGTCTGAGTCCCTGCCACCGGCGTAACACAGGGGAAGGGGCAGGATGCTTTTTAGGGGTGAAAAGGCCTAATTTCACGGCTCGCCTTAATTTCTTAGAATGTAAGAACGGCCACAATGAGTCAGACCAAAGGTCCATCCAGCCCAGCGTCCTGTCTGCCCACAGTGCCCCGTGCCAGATGCCCCAGAGAGAGTGAACAGAACAGGGAAGCATCCAGCGATCCCTCACGTCGCCCATTCCCAGCACCTGACAAACAGAAACCAGGGACACCATTCCTACCCATCCTGGCTAATAGCCATTGAGGGACCTGTCCTCCATGAATCTATCTAGCTCCTTTTTGAACCCTGTTAAAGTCCTGGCCTTCACATCATCCTCTGGCGAGGAGTTCCACAGGTTGACTGTGCGCTGCATGAAGAAAAATGTCCTTTTGTTTGTTTTAAACCTGCTATCTATTCATTCCATTGGGTGGCCCCTAGTGCTTATGTTATGGGAACAAGTCAATAACTTTTCCTTCTTCACTTTCTCCACACGTCTTGATTTTATAGACCTCTGTCCTAGCCCCCTCCCCGGTCTCCTCTTTTCTAAGCTGAACAGTCTCAGTCTTTTCAATGTCTCTTCATACGAGTCCCATTCCAAACCCATGTGAGTATTAATATGGAGCAGCCCAGCTGGGCTCGTGCGGTACCAGCTGCTTCGGTCCTCCTGGGCCACACGAAGCGTATGTGGCAGGTCACTAGTTACAGCCTCGGCGTGGGTGCAATATGGCAGGTTCTCACTCCCCACCCTAGCTGCCGAGATTCCCGCCGAGTAGCAAACTCGCAACAAGCCCCCCGCCCTGCTCTCCGGTTACCTCCAGGGCGTGGTGTATGGCGCGCCGATAGGAGACCAGCTTGTTGAACGTGGAGTGGTTGAAATGCTGCCTAAAAGCCATCAGCCCCACCAGCTTGTCGGCCGAAACCTAGGAGGAGAGGGATCGATGCTCAGTCACAACCACGGTTGTTAAATAAAATAAAGGTAGCAAGGAGCAGGCACTTAGCTAGTTCCTACCACCAAGCACTCCATGAATAGTACGTCTTGCAACGTCCCCATGGACCTACATGGCCCTTATGGAAAATGGCCAAGAGACTTGCTCCAGGCTAACCGGAGCCAAAACCGGAGCCCAGGTGCTCTGGCTCCAGGCCCGGGGCACATCTGTATTTACACTGCTTAGTCCTGCCGAGAAGAGGGAGGCAGGTCGCAGCGTTTGCAGAGGGGGCTTGAGCCTGCTTGCTGTTTGCACTCGATCGTCCCGTCACATAAGGTGCCCGTGACCCGGTTTCTTTCCCCCGCCCAAGTAGGCTCAGCTCCAGCATCTGGCTCCCAGTGATTTCACCCACCGTGCGCTGCTTTGGGGGCTGTGGGGGGCAGGGCCTCCCATTGCTCTCCTGTGGCACCCTCCCCCCGCAGCCAACAGGCGCAGTGGCATCCATAGCTCGGGGACTCTCCCCCAGATGCCCCCTCTCCCCGAGGGCAGGTCCGAGGGCAGGTCCGTGCGATGGGAGAGTGGGGGGGAGGAAGGGAGAGTAGAACAAACATAGGTTTCCAGCCAGCATCCAGCATCACCCACAATATTCACGGGGGCCCCCGTGCCGCCCGCGCCGAATGGGCCACTTCCCGTGCGGATGGCCATCGGCCCCCTCCCCGCCTACACTGTGGGGGGCAGAGGGGAGCTGCACCGGAGGGCCAGCCCTGGCGGCAGAGGGTTTTCCAGGGACACGTGTTGCATCTGAGTAACCCAAGACCCCAACACTAAAAATCGAATCCCTCCTGCACAAGCAGCCCCTCCCACTGTGATCACAGGCTGGCTCCGGTCCCGCCCGGCCCTTCTGCTGCAGCTGGGATCCTTGTCTCTTTGTGGTCGGTCTCGGAATCTAGATTTCTGAAAACGAAACCTGCGCCGCCCCGACAGACTTGAGCACCCTCTACTGGCCACCTGGCGGCGCAGCAGCAGGATGCCACGGGGCGCACACCCAGCTGCTAGAAGGTCCAGGGAGCGTGGCGGCCCGTGGGCTCTCCGACGTACCTCGGAGAACTTCCCGTCCCCAAACCACTGCACCCAGCGCATTCCGGAGATGGCCCGGCGCTTGGACGTGACGCGGTAGGAGACAACGATGGCAGGCCACCAGGAGAAGCCCTTGATCTTCCCCCACACGAGCTCCCCAATTCCAAAATCCTTCCCGTCCTGAAAAAGACCACGGTGAGGCAAATCAGCAGCAGCAAAACACCAGCCACACGTCGCCCGCCGCG